CAAATCTCTAAGAAAGAACAGGGCATGGCCCTCATGGTGAAGCAAGTGTGTTTCATAGTAGTAGATGAAACTGATTTGGAATAACATGAATCTAATTCTTGCTTCTCATAGGTCTTGCCAAGCAGTAGAAACATGACCTGTGAGCTTGTTAAAATTGTAAAATGTATGTCTCAAAAGGGATCAATTGTAACAGACTTTTGCAATTTAACAATAACACTAGAGGCACATTCAATTTTGAGAAACATTACATAAGGCAACCTCACATCACAAGATTTGCAGTTAAATCTGGACTTATTTTATTTGCATTTATACTGTCTGCTTTACTGAAACCATTAATTGAACTCATAACAAACATGTATTACTACTTAGGGCTATGAGGGATCATTTCATTTAGGACATCATAATTCACTAGAAAAGTAGCCATCACTGAATTTCCCTTAAAAACACCTTATGAATTGTAAATGATTAAAGACAAGCTTCTGCCTATACATGTACAGTTTTATCTCATTAGGCCATTTTCATTGGGTTACATTCCATTTGGCATATTAACACTTGGAGCTGTTTGAAATTACTTTTATTTCAACCCCAAGAGAAACACAATAACACAATCATTAAGACTCAATTACTAATAGCTAACAAGAAAGTAGGATTGTGTGCTTATAACAGGAATAGACAACCCTCATTAAGAGAAGAAAACAAAACAACCTTAAAAATGAAGTTGTTTCAACCTTAGAAAGCTATCTAGAATCTGAGCCTTGGTGGCTCACACCTATAATCCTAGCTAATCAGGAGGCTGAGATCTGAGGATGACAGTTCCAAGCCAACCCCAGGAAGGAAAGTCAGTGAGACTCTTATCTCCAATAAACTACTCAAAAAAATCTAGAAGTGGTGCTGTGGCTCAAGTGGTAGAGTGCTAGCCTTGAGAACAAAAAGCCTCAGGGACAGTGTCCAGGCCCTGAGTTCAAGCCCTAGAACTGGAAATAAAAACAATAACAACAATTTGAAAATTTCATGCAGTTGTCAGTTTCCATTCCCTATTGTATTTTGCATATAGATGTCTATGAGTTCCATAGTATCATTTTAATCTAAATAAAATAAAAGCCATAATGTTCATCAGAAGCAATCTCTAGTCTCTCTAGTTTCTCACCTAGCTTACTTTTCTCAACTTAAAATATTTAGTATATTTGCTCATTGTTTGTTTTTCAGTCACTCAAGTGTTTTTCAGTCACTCTATAAGGGCACGAGCTCTCAGGTAAAACAACATTTAAAATTGGTTTATCAAGTAGAATTATTGCAAGAATTAAAGGAGATTACACATTAAAAGCAACAGCATCCGGCTTAGTAAAGTCCTAAAACAATGCTAATGGTTTTTTAGCAATAACTACATTAATATATGCAGGATCTTGTGAAAAGATTTGCAAGGAATTTCTTGCCAGTAAGTCTCAATTTTTCTTCTTGAGAGTACATGATGGAATTGTAGCTTTAAAACTAATATGCATGCCATATCACTATATCACTAATATACATGCCTTATCTTCAGAATATTCATGTAACTCTAATGTATTCACTCATTAATTTCATTTATTTCTTTTCTTTATATTACCTAGTGTGTCTATCCCTACAATACACATTACAGACTACAAACCTATTTCAATTTCAAGGAGCTTATGGTTAGTAAGGAAAGTAAAATGTGCAGATAAAATACACAACATGACAAAGGGCAGAAACATCTTCCTCACTTTTCTAAGGAGGCACTGTATTCAGAACACATTCTTTCAGCAGAGTTATAAAAGTACTACATAGGCTGCCAACTGATCCTGGGAATCTGAAATTGAGAAAATGAAGAACCTAAGCCTGGGGGAGGGGAAGATGGGGGGAGCGCATTTCATATCCAATCCATGACACCAGCCATAACCCTTACCTTACTCTCACTTACTTTCTCAAATTTAAACATGGCTCCCAATTTAATCCCAGCACTCACACGCACAAATCAACTGAGCAGAAAGCACTGAAGTTATGTACTAGCCCTCAATGAACTCAGAATAATCCCCAGCTCTCACTATTGGTGGGCAGCCTTCACATTCATTAAACAAACATAGGCCTTGAACACTTGCATACTAAGGCTTGTATTCTGGTGGCAAATTGGGAGTCTTTTCTCTTCATGAGTATTCAGAATTCTGCAGTGCCCATTCTGCCATGCAGACACTCAGGCTTAAAGGCAAAAATTGCCAGGCATAGATGGCTCACACCTCCTACCTACTCAGGGGGCTGAGAACTGAGAATCCAGATGCAAAGCCATCCCAGACTGGAAAGTTCCTGAATCTCTTATCTCCAATACACTAATCAGAAAGAGCTGGAAGTGGTCCTGTGGTTCAAGTTGTAGAGTGCTAGCCTTGAGCAAAAAGAGGCTTAGGGACAGAACCCAGGCCCAGAGTTCAAGCTCCACAATGGGCCAAAAAAAAAAAAAAAAAAAGGAATCTAAATAAATAAATAAATGGAAATGGCATTGAGTTTATGGAGAAGGTCACATGTGAATTAAACTTAATGTTCAAGTAGAAAGTGAAGGGCTGGACAGTGGCTTAGTGGTAGAATTGCTTGCCTAGCATGCATAAAGCCCTGGGTTTGATTCTCAGTACCATATAAACAGAAAAAGCCGAAAATGGTGCTGTGGCTCAAGTGGTAGAGAGATAGCCTTGAGCAAAAAGAAGCTCAGGGAGAATGCCCCGGCTCTGAGTTCAAGACTCAGGACTGGCAAAAATAAAGAAAACCTAAAGAAATGAAAGTGAAGAGGACATTCTAGGACAAAGGAAGTGTCTCAATGGAGCAAAAACAGAGCTAGGAGAGTTACCTGGAGAGGAATAGTGCAAAGTAAAACAAGACACAAGAAATAAACCAGCAGATGAGAGTTAAAACATTATAAGGTGTGAATAATATCTAATATCATATGTGTATACTTTATATGCAAATGTTAAACTAATCAAACACAAAATTGTTTAGAAATGGTACAGGGAATCAGAAAGAGAAATAGAGGGGGCTAACATTCTCATAGAATATTATACAAACAATGAAACCACTTTGAATAATTAATATATTCTAATTTAAAAAGAAAATGGATATGTAACCACATAGTAACCAATGAAACATTGAAGTATATGCATTTTTTGCAATTTGTGTGCTTATTTTATATTATACAAAATAGCTATGTAATAAAATCTAAGGGTAATGAGTGTAAACTAGGTTGAAAAACATGTACAAATTAAGTGATTGGCTTGGAAAATACTGATCTGGAATAGCTCTCATTAATATATAATTATGGAGCTGTCTATGTGAATATGTGTGTATGTAAATGTATGCGGGTGTAGGTGTGTTTGAATGGCAGTTATGAATCTATGTAATAAAACTCAATGGAAACTCAATGAATATACCACAGAAACCAAATGAAAAGGCGATCCTTCTAAGGTTCCTGTAATATCCTGTTTAGATGTAATAATTATATAATAAAGGAAAGCTTGTTTGTATGCCTGGTAGATTAACAAGTAAAACTATGACTAATTTCAAACCTTGAAAGAAATATTCCTTTAGTCGGTTTGAGTCATTTTCCAGTAGTAAGAAAAGAAATCTTAAAAAAAAAAGCTAAGCATGATGCAAATGGGAAAATTATAACATTTTTTTCTTTTGCTATTTTTCCCCAGAATCTCATTATATAGTAAAAAAAAAAAAACCACAAAACTGGCACTGTGTATATTACACCAAAGTGTCTTGCATTGCAAATGAGTTAATTAAGCTACTACCTGTGGGATTTTTATGTCATTTTTTATGAAATTTCTTTGGAATATGCATAGATATCTATATATCTATACATATTTATGATGTGTTCTTTTTCACAATAAATTACAGGAGAAAATTTATATGGGGACCCATACTTCACTCATGTAGGCAAGACACAAGGAAAGAAGAAGATTTCAGTGAAACCACCCACCCATCGGGGCTACTCCGGGATCCCTGCCTCAGCTTCAATCAGAAGAATCACAAGATTTAGTTGCACTTATGTCTCATTATCTGTGTGCTGCAGGTTGAGAATAATTGGTGAATACATTAGCATCAGATCAGAGAGCATGAAATTAAGGACACAAATAAAGTGAGTTGCAATATAGTAAATTAAAAACAAGTTGAAGACTTCCTAAGTTGAGCCGCAAGAGCTACATCTGAAAGGAGGAAATGTAGTTTCTGGGCACAGAAATTTAAAAATACACACAGTGAGCATTTCTATCTGTGTTGTCTCTGTCTGTAGCCTTGTGGCACAGAGAGACCTCAGGCAGCATATTTGGAGGGTTGGAAATCAAAACCATCTTCCCAAACACAGTACCATTTTATGGACTAGAATTCACAGAATTTACATTTGATCTATTCCTGATAGTGACATCAGCTTCTAGAAACAGATGTATACAAAATGTATACAAAACATGCAAAAAATTACTAGGATTAATATAAGAAGCCGCTATACATGTGTCACTTTCTTCCTCCCTCCCTCCCTCCCTCCTTATCTCTCCCTCCCTCCCCTCCCCCCTCTCTCTCTCTCTCCCTCTCCCTCTCTCTCTCTCTCTCTCTCTCTCTCTCTTTCTCTCTCTCTCTCTTTTCCTCTCTTCCCTCCTTGTTTCCTTCTTTTCAGATGGGATCTTTCTCCATAACTAAGGCTGACCTTTGGAGTTAATGTTACCTTACTATAAATGGTTAAAAAACCTAAAGTAAAACAAACTAGCTTCTTTGAAATGTACTTTTGGACACTGAACCCATGATAACTGGAAACATACATATTTGTAGGGGAAACTGAAAACCAATTCATTGAAAACTCAATTAAAAAATGATCTGCTAAAGTATAGTGTAAATATTAAATAAATTAAATATATTGACTTGATCAAGTTCTTGGTTACCTAAGTCAATATCATTTAGACAGAAACTCTCCCTCCCCCCTGCCCAGTATAATGTAACACTGTACTCACTTTTGGTTACAACACCTTCGAGATGGATGATGTTAGGATGATCAAACTGACCCATGATACTTGCTTCACCTAGGAAATCTCTGCGTTGCTTTTCAGTATAGCCTACTTTTAGGGTTTTAATCGCCACAGGTAATTCTCTTTTTCCTGGTAATTTCAGACGTCCACTACAAACTTCACCAAATTCACCTTGTGATAAAGATAGGGAAAATACGCAAACTCTTTTAGAATTTTTATTCTAGCAAAGTCATTTAGAATTCTAAGTCTAATTCTTGAAGTGTTCAGGAATTAAATTTTTAAAAATTATTAAAATTTATAAAAAAGTAGGACAAACATTGTTAGCTGTGTTAGAAGCTTTGAGCTCTTTGGACATTTAACTAATCTCATCTACCTCACCTACAGAAACCTAAATGGGCAGATGGGAGGGCAGGGATTGTGAGGGGAAACAAAGGAAGAGGCAACAATGCTTGTTAAGAAATGTACTCATTACCTTGTTCATGTAATTGTAACCCCTCTGTACGGTATTTTCACAATAAAAAACGTATTAATAAAATAAAATAAAAAAGAAATCTAAATGGGAACATCTGAAAGAAAAACATTAAAAATCATGTATTTCTCCCTTTTTGTTAAAGAAAAAGGAAAAGATCAGGAAGCAATTTCAAGGCAGAGATGAGTTGAATTATGTAAGCACTTTTAAGTTATATGAATTACATATATGTATGTGTAAAACAATAACAATAGAAATATTTTGGCTGCAGTGCTTCTGTAATAAACCAGACATTTGTTAAGCAGAATGATGCCTTGCAATGTGATCTGTTGCATGCCACTTTGAAAGCAAGACAATTACAAAAGATCAAAAGCCTTTAGTGTTACTGCAAGACACTGATATATTACACTTCCCAATAGAAACAAAAGGCAAAAGTCATAAAACTCATAAATAGGTTGGTGTACCTGCTCCAATAACTCTTTCAATAGTGATGCACGAGGCTTCTATCTCTTTGGCAAACTCATGGACAGCTTGACTGGGATCTTCATAGGTGTGTGGGTCAATGTAGGTCCTCACGCCAGGCAGTTTAACTGTAAAAAATAGGTGGCATTCATATTGAAATGTTAATGGTTGAAGAAAAGTATAAAATTTATTAACTGGTTAGTATAGTTTAAATGCAGCAAGGAAAGGCTCTCTACTGAGTAATGACAATTATACAAGGACAGATGTATTACATTGATAGTTCAAATAAATATAGATATTGTCACTCATAGGAAATTTATATTTAATAACATTCCTCAATCACAGTATTTAATGACTAGATCTCTGATGCAAATTAAGCACTTTTTATAAAATTTAACTGGAAAATGGAATGCTACTAGTTTATTTGCTTATTTATTCTTTATTAACTTTTAGAGTCAAATATTCTTAATTTTGACTTTTCAGAAACATTTAAAATAAGGTTTTGATAGTATCGGTGCAATAGGCTGGTACACAAATAGAAATTGTCTATCTTTCTCTGTCCTTGTGATTGCATGACTGGAAGACTTTTGTGTTCTCCAAGTCTCAGTGTACTGCCTTGAAGACTACTTACTATTATCTTGAAAGTAAGGAACATAAATAATATTAAGTAAGAGAGAACTGTAAAAGAGACTCAATATTTTTCAGTTGTGATCAAAGCAAAAGATATCCATTTAAATTTATTTGGCAAACAAATTAACATTATTTTCTTTATGGAAAAACAAATGCACTGAAAACTATAGCTAGGCCTTATTTAAGCAAGGTTTTAAGTTCACTGCCAAAAGTGTATCTTGTCAGTTTCTTAAAAATGTCGCCTATTTCAAGTCATTTGAACCAAGTTTGTACCACAAGATTTTTTTTTAGGCAAATTTTTGCTTATACACTCAAAGAATAAACTGAGTAATTTTAATCATTGAACCTGATGTGTATATTTAGTGATAGATTGTTATTCACTCTGCTGTTAGTGATTATAATGAGTTTTGGTATTTGGTTTGAAATAAAGTAGCATTTTAAGTTATATAAAACACTTTTGATGATTATAATGAAAATATTCTTTAAGTAATTGAATAAGCCATCAGCAGCCCGTCATCATTATCATGCCGACTTATTTTAAACTTGTAAGTCTTTTACTATGAAAAGAAATAAAAATAAAATGTCCTCTTTTCTATTTGTGTGCAATTTGCTTACTGTGCCCATTATGAAAATGCATCTTCTCCTCTTCTGGGTCTTGCTTAGCTTTGCTGTAGCCACACCGCCTGGAACAAATAAACTATAATTAGTCACATCTGACAGGGTCGAGTCAATCACATTAAGCCCAGAAGTGGGAAATACAAATAAAATTACTGAACTAATGTCCATAATAGTCATAAGAAATACCAATTTAGGAATAAAACTTTTATTCCAAGTTTGGATTCCTCTCTTTCAGCAAATAAGCTTGCCCAAATTTTGGTTAAAAAAAAACCTTACAAATACATTTATATTTAAATTCCCTGTACTGTATTAACCACATCAGATTTTGTTTTTCTGTTGCCTTCCCTTTTGAGAATGAATTGCCTGAAGAATGTGTTTCATCGAAATGAATGCTTTCCTTCATCACCCTTCTGGAATGTTTCAATATTTTCCTCTCTCCTTTGTTGTTTTGGAGTCTTTAGTTGCTCCAACTCATATTTTCTGTCTACAGACACTCAGATCACTATAAAACTTACCACAATCTCTACCACACCACTTCATCTTTGGTTCCCAAATTTTTGTCTCTGTTGTTTTCAATAACCAATAATTTTCAAGTTCTTGTGAACTGTTGTCATTAGTGACAAACCTTGCCCTTCTAAGTTTCATAAGTGACAACTTAACCTTTAACCTGGTGACTTCATTTTACTTTGTAACTTCTTGATGGACTGATAGCTTTAATTATTTTTCTTATGCTTTGTTCCTCTTTTCAATATGTTTGGACATTTTCCTAAACTTGTATAGTTTGCTTCTCTGAATCTATTATTTTCTACCCATTCATTGGATACTTCCAATCCTCTCTTTAAATTTATTTTGGGAATTATATTCTTCTTTCTGATAGACTTATTTTATAGGGTTATTCCATTGATACCTGAACTTTATAGATATGTAAAAATAAATTGCAATATTTCTCTCTTCAACCATGTTGCCCCTTCTCTCTTCATGTAGTAATACCAAGGTGTTCTCTTCCTGAAGATCTACACATTGTTCTTGTGTCCTTCACAAAATTTTAGTTTTGAAATATCAAGCATTTTTATTTTTCATTGGCTCTACCTCTTCCTCATTAATTTTTATCTCCTTTGCTTTGTCTTCAGAATACCTGCTCTAGTATTACTTCTTTTCTAATATACATCCAACAACCAAGATACTGTATATAAGATATTCTCCTGTTGAATTATCTTTCAATGATAAAACCAACAAGAAAATATTAGGTAAAAATTCTTCAACGTAACTCCAACACACATTCCCTACATTATCCTCTACTTTTCATCTTTATATATAGAATATTTCATAAAAATCTATGAGAAATCTCTCCATGTTTCCATATATCTGACTACTATACTTCCCTTTTACAAAGATATTCTTTTTAATGATGTACAATTAGTGAAGTCCTATTCAATTATTGCCATCACTTTTATCCCCGATTCCCAACTTCTGGAAACTTTCCCCAGTATAGAAACTTTCTCTGTTCCTCTAATGCTGTGGTGGTTTTCCATTTATAGTTCAACATACTTATTTGAACAGGTTTGTAAGTTCCCCTACTATTACCAACTTCTTAAATGGCAAAAGGTAGTATTTACAAACAAATTCTGGCATTGAATGAGATGGCATTTACATATTTATTACATTGATGAATGAATTAATGAATGAGTGAATGAAATTTTGAGTTTATCCACACAATCACAGTTGTCTGGCAAATGCCTATGCTGATGAATACTGACACAGTTGATGTGGTATGTGATTAACCTTGCTAACACTAAACAACTGGCAACAATAACAAATGTTTAAATTATTTTTGTTTAACCCTAATGAAGAGAATTTACTATCTGTAAGATATTACTATAATACTACTAAACTAAATTCATTAAACATAAAATTTCCATTTATTATCACAGTAGGAAAATACAGCCAAAGTGGAAGACTAACAAAGCTGGCAGTCAATACAATTAGTTTGAAAATAACCATGTAAGTGAATTATTCATAGGCATTTACCAACAGACTGTTTATGGTTACATATTCTGGGACATTTAATAAAGCCTGTATTTTGGTACCAAAACAAAAATTATTTTGCTCTATGTGATTTCTTAATGCATAATTAATAGATAACAGTGATAACCACTAAAGTCTATTTTAATGTCAAGTTTGAATAAAAAGGAGAGTAAGCTTTATCATGTTAAAGAACTGGCAATTAATAAAGCACCTTCAGTAAATTTTTGAAGGAACTCGAAATAAACATACTGAACACATACAATGTTCTCAGGGGGAGAAATACTCAAAATGAGATGTAGTGGCTTTTGAAATTTTGTTCCTAACACTTAGATGTATTTAACATTCAAGAACTTTTAACACCTACTGTACTCCTTTCCTGAAATGCGGAGGAGAAAAATAAATGCACAAAATTAGGCCAGTATTTTATTTGGTTTGTTTAAGTATGCATCCAGATATTTTAACAAAATGTTCATATTTTTCTTAGATAAATATTCTTTCTGTGTTTAATAGATGTGCTTCAGTTCTGTCGAACTTCAATGTATGTGCCTCAAGAAAGAAAAATCACTGATATTTCTTATTAACAATGTTCTAAATTCAATTTAAATGATACTGACAGAAGGGTTTATGCAGGAATTCTAAACAAACCTAACAGGTAGATGCATTCTTTGTATTAGATAAGAAACGTTCACTCTACCAATTTCAACTGCTAACTTTCTCAATAAATGAATAACTTTTCAAAATGGTATATTCCAATAGCCTTTATCATTAAATCATTAAGAAAGCCTCACATATATTCAAATTGCATGCAGATTCCTCAAATGAAAATGGAAATAAAATATTCGGTCTCATCTAGAAATGATTTGAGAATACCTTGGTGAGGAGCGGATAACATTTTATTACCTAGGGTGAGAGCAAGGAGAGCAATAGAAAGAAGTTAATTTTGAGTATGGACATCTCTGGGGCTCTGTAACATATACAGCTGCATGACACATTAACATATAAAAGTTAGTTCTGGAACCCCCTAAAGCACCATTAAAACTAGCCTCAACAAGATACAGCAAGTAAAAATGCAGCTGGCAGAGATTGGCACTCAAATAGTGGTTCAGCCTCATTAATAAAGTATTGCAAGGAAGCTTGTTCATTTACTATCATCTTCTGTACCTGTTCCCGATGCATAATTTTAACCAAACGCAACAATCTATGAATGTGTCATTCCTCATATAAACTAGGCCTCAACTTTCTGAATTTTTTTCCTGAATGAAAAGTTTTTTTCATTTTGTTTCATATTACAACTGTAAGATCTGTGAATATATTTTACGAAAATTATCTGTAGCATTTTTATTCAGAAGAAACCTCTTCTATTATTTATGTTAATGTTTATCTAGAAAAAATGTGTTATTTGGCAAAGTTGGGTATGAGAAACTATGTATAGTCTTATAGAGGTATTTCATATGTATATGTAGGAATGAAAATGTGGATAACTTAGAAATTTGCCCATTTCCTCCCAATCTAAGAGGTTGGATTATACAACCCTGAAAATATGAATGCTGACCTTAAAAACTTGATGCCAACTGTTACATCTATATTTGGAAATTTGAAATTTCCATAAAGGTTAAAATAATAGTGGTTATATGCTCATGGAGTTGCCAATGAAAAAATTCCTTAGAGGAACAGGTTTAATACTTAATAATAAGTTTGGATTATAAATGCTGAGCCCTTCAGAGTAATCATAGAAGTTTGTCAATAATTTACTAAATGGAACTCTAGTGGCCAGTAAGGAAAAGGACTGAAAGGTTGAGCCCCAAAGTGCATGCAAATGCTGATTCCACAAGAACTTGCAAACAGATGGGCCCACAGCTTTGACATACAGAAATAAATACTTTTAATTGTTTCAAACTAAATAATTTGGATAGAATATAATGGTGTATAGCAGAATAGTTTTGAAATTTGATTTAAGAAAAAGTGTAGTTCTATGCATAGCTATGAAGTTGACAGTTCTTTATTTTTCCTCTATTTCAAGATAAAATTACAAAATGCTTTTCCTATACCTCAAGGAAAACATGTTTTAAAGAAAACCTCAGCAATTTAGCAACACAACAATCTGCATTTTTTAATTTAAAATTATTAAAAGCCACTCCTCCTTTAAAATCCAAATTTTTCTTCATATATACACATATAATTATATATATATACATACATACATGTATATATTTGTTCATACATACATAGATGTGTATATACACTCATTATTTTCTATCATAAGATGACTTTAACCATGGTAATTTTGCATTTAAATAATTTCATTAATGAAATTTTGGAAAGAATAAGTAATAGTTTGGGGAGAAATATTTCAAACTTTTCATTTCAGACTTTACTCCAATTATGAAAATGTGAGTCTAAATAAGAACCCACCACTTAACTCAGCCGTATAAACTAAAGAAGCATACAAACTTAATATATTCTAAAAAATAGAGATTAATTTTTTATGGGACTTCATTGTTCAATAAGAATATAAATTCATTAAAATTGGACTTTGAGTATGTAGGCTATCTTGCTAACCTCATAATTCTCATCAATATTTTCTTCATTTAGACACCAAGATCCTGGGATTTTGTGTTATATATGTATATGTGTGTATGCATATATGTATATATTTGTAAAGAAAATAAGTTATATATATAAATGCAGTTGATCTATTTTTATTTCTCGGAAATATTCTATTAAGCATCTCATAGAAACATGTGCTAGTGGGAAACCATCTTCTTAAATATTGGAGTGGTGTAATGAGTCTCACAAAGTAAAGGTACAACTTCCTGAGTAACTACCTCACATCTGTAAAGGATGCTAATTACCCTATAACTAAGGACATGTGAGAAGCTAAAGAAAATCTTATTCATGGTTCCCATATTGTTTGTTTATTCTATATCTTCTAAAACAAAGCAACAAAAACACTTCGAAATGGTGTGTAGTACACATGAATCTGTGCATTTCCCAAGCAGAAACCTTTGAAATTCATTTAGTATTACCTATATTGGCAATA